ATGTTCATTTATCCATTTTATTAGTTATATTTTTTTCCCGGTTTTCTGTATGTAAAACTATAGTTATTCTCTACAAAATTTATTTTTTAATATTTTTGGGTGTGGAACGGAGTAATTGGATTTACGTTATTTCTTTTGGAAAATATTGCTTCAGTTTTCATACGGTTTGGTTTTCGTCAGACGTTTTAGAACAGATTAATCTCGAAAACCGAGGTTCCACTGTATAAAAAAGATGACCTGTTCAAATTTGCTTGTCTGAAGGTGCATTCCTCAAATGTACTGATAACCCTTGAAAGATGTAGCACTTCCCCATGAATAAATGCTTTATTAATGAATATGCATACTCTGCAGCATTCATATATTCATGGCTGATGCCAACATGGCCAGTAGACTAGATGAAGAGGAATGTTCAGCATCTTATTGTATTGATGTATAAAGAAAATCGCATGAGCTTTCTCTTGCAAAACTAGAACAGCCCTCAAGTAAAAATTCCCCATCTTTCATTCAGATATCTTGCCAGAAATGTATACATGCACATCAGAATTCAAATTACCATCTGAACTGCAGTGTCCCCACTCTTCAAGTGAAGGTGGTGTACTTCCCACCTCTAGAACTTCATCCGGCCCAGCTAACCGGTTTTCCTTCAATGTGGTGAGGGTGATGTTCACATATAACTGTTACACACCTGTACTGGATGTGGAAATTTTAGCTTCTGATTTTGCCCAAATGAAAGGCATCTTCTCTTCCCAAATTTTCCTCTTATCCTCTAACTATCCACCCACCTTCCCTCCTACTCTCCTCTCACCTCCTCAGTCCTACTTCCCCCAAATCTCTTCTTCCCATCCTGTCACTCTTACCTCCTAATCTTTTTTTCATTTTTCTCTTTTTCTTTCTAGCTCTGTTTTATATATTATAACTGAAGTCATCAGAGAGTGATAGGCAGTCCTAGAAAATGGAGCATACTCAAGGTATATGCACTAGTTTTTTGTTCAGCCTGTATTTTTGAGCAGATAAGACATACATCTAAGTGCTGTTAGCCTCCTGATTGCCTGGTTTGCCAGATTTACTGTGTGGTTCTTTATAGTCAATTTGTAATCAGATTTTGCCCCAAGGATATCAACCTCATCCCCAGGTTCTAAGACTCCCCTTCATTCTTACCACTGCTCCAGCATTACCATCATTTGTTTTCTCAGAAGCAAATGTAACCTGCTATCGTTTACCCCAGATTGATATAGGTGAAAGCTGATGATATAATTGAGAACGGCTGGCCTTTCCTATCTTGGATAAGTAAATATCAAAGTATGTTGTCTATATATGCATGGGATTCTGGAATAAGCTGAAAGTCATTTAAGTAGACATTCTATAACAATTGCCCAAGCACGCTTCCCTGTGGAACACTGATGCTGATTGAATGTCTTGTTGACTGTCCCATTGAGAACTAGTCTTAGAGATCTACCTTGAGGGTAATCACTAAGGCATAGTGCAGAGCCAGACTCCTAGTGCTTGCAGTTTTGCCATAGTTCCTGGTGCCATACTCGGTCAATAATGCCAGCAAAGTCCAGTGCTACAACACAGCTGACCTTGGATTCATCCAGTGACTGGTGCCACATAGTGGTGAGGTTTAATGGCAGATCAGCAGTAGTGATCTTTTCTGAAACCATATTGATGGTTGCAAGTGGTAGTTGAAAAATGGTTATCATCCATGAGATTCTCAGGAATCATGCCAGTGATTGACAGGAGTGACACTGGTCTGTAATTGCTGATTTTTTTTTTTTATGGATGGGGACTACATTTGCCTCTTCCCACAGAGAAGGCCACTTACACTGCAAGGCAGTGCTGATAGATGCAAGTGATGCTAGCTGGTCTGCATACGTATCTACTAAGCAATCTTTCAATTTTTTGATTCTCTCCCTTTTTCTCCCTCTTCATCTTTCTTTTTTCTCTCATTCACACACCCACCTACCCTTTATCCCTAATGTCTTCTCCTGTTTTTTCTGCATCCAACCCCCCCCCCTCCCCCTTTTCTCAAATCTTGCTTTTCCTTTTTCATTCTCCTCCTTATAGTGCTTAACAGTTTTTTTTTTTTCAACAAGTCGGTCGTCTCCCACCGAGGCAGGGTGACCCAAAAAAAAAGAAAAAATCCCCAAAAAGAAAATACTTTCATCATTCAACACTTTCACCACACTCACACATTATCACTGCAGTTTAGAAGTATATACGTATAAAAATACACAATACAGTGGACCCCAGCATAACGGACAATCCGCATAGCGGACGCTTTGATCGCTAAAATTTTGCCCCGCATAGCGCCCAAAAACCCGCTCAGCGGCCTTCGTCCGAGACGCGTCCAATGTGCGGCCTGAGCCAGCCTCATATGTTCCGCCGGTGGCATTGTTTACCAGCCAGCCTCCGCGGTAACATTCAAGCATACAATCGGAATATTTCGTATTATTAGTGTTTTCGGTGCTGTTTCTGGAAAATAAGTGACCATGGGCCCCAAGAAAGCTTCTAGTTCCAACCCTACAGCAATAAGGGTTAGAATTCCTATAGAAATGAAGAAAGAGATCATTGATAAGTATGAAAGTGGAGTGCGTATCACCGACCTGGTCAGGTTGTACAAGAAACCCAAATCAACCATCTCTTCTATTGTGGCCAAGAAAACGGCAATCAAGGAAGCTGTTCTTGCCAAAGGTTTAACTGTGTTTTCGAAACAAAGATCGCAAGTGATGGAAGATGTTGAGAGACTCTTATTGGTGTGGATAAATGAAAAACAGCTAGCAGGAGATAGCGTCTCTCAAGTGATCATATGTGAAAAGGCTAGGAAGTTGCATGAGGATTTAATTAAAAAAATGCCTGCAACTAGTGATGATGTGAGTGAATTTAAGGCCAGCAAAGGTTGGTTTGAGAGATTTAAGAAGCGTAGTGGCATCCATAGTGTGATAAGGCATGGTGAGGCTGCCAGTTCGGACCACAAAGCGGCTGAAAAATATGTGCAGGAATTCAAGGAGTACATAGAAACTGAAGGACTGAAACCTGAACAAGTGTTTAATTGTGATGAAACAGGCCTGTTCTGGAAGAAAATGCCAAGCAGGACCTACATTACTCAGGAGGAAAAGGCACTCCCAGGACATAAGCCTATGAAAGACAGGCTTACTTTGTTGATGTGTGCCAATGCTAGTGGTGATTGCAAAGTTAAGCCTTTATTAGTGTATCACTCTGAAACTGGTTCAAAGGAGGGGAGAGAGAAATTGAAGGAATTGCCTACTTCAAAGATTAAGGAAATGTGTGCAAAATGGCTTGAAGTGCAAACCTTTTTTGATGAAAATCACCCTCACACAGCTATTGCAAGCCGTGCTGGTGACTGTTACAATGACAATGTTGTGAACCACTTTAGAAAAATCATAAAGGAACGAGAGGTACAGGCCACTATGGACAGATATTTTTGTGCGAAAGAAGTCCAGTGACTCTGAAGCTGGTCCTAGTGGCATTAAAAGAAGAAGGGAAGTAACCCCAGAAAAGGACTTGCCTCCTCAAGTCTTAATGAAGGGGATTTCCCCTTCTAAACACTAACACTCTCTCTCCCCTCCTCCCATCCCATCAATCATCACCAGATCTTCAATAAAAGTAAGTGTCATGTAATTGTGCATGCCTTTTTCAGTTTGTGTGTACTAAAATTAACATTTTTTTGTGGTAAAAAAATTTTTTTTTCATACTTTTGGGTGTCTTGCACGGATTAATTTTATTTCCATTATTTCTTATGGGGAAAATTCATTCACATAGCGAACATTTCGCATAACAGCCAGCCCTCTTGCACGGATTAAGGTCGCTATGCGGGGGTCCACTGTATATCCCTCCAAACTGCCAATATCCCAAACCCCTCCTTTAGAGTGCAGTCATTGTACTTCCCATTTCCAAGACTCGTGTCCGGTTATATAAAATAACCGGTTTCCCTGAATCCCTTCACTAAATATTACCCTGCTCACACTCCAACAGATCATCAGGTCCCAAGTACCATTCGTCTCCATTCACTCCTATCTAACAGGCTCACGCATGCTTGCTGGAAGTCCAAACACCTCCTTTACCCCTTCCCTCCAACCTTTTCTTTGTCAACATTTAAAAGTTCCTCAAAATATTCTTGCCATCTGCCCAATACCTCCATCTCTGCATCTACTAACTCCCCTACTGTTTTTAACTGACAAATCTATTCATTCCCTAGGCTTTCTTAACTTGTTTAACTCGCTTCAAAATTTTTTCTTATTTTCATTAAAATTTCTTGACAGTGCCTCTCCCACTCTATCATCCGCCCTCCTTTTGCACTCGCCACTCTCTTCACCTTTCTTTTACTCTCCATATACTCTACTCTTCTTATAACACTTCTGCTTTGTAAAATACCTCTCATAAGTCACCTTTTTCTCTTTTATCGCACCCTTTACCTCATCATTCCACCAATCACTCCTCTTTCCTCCTATAACCACAAACTTCTGACCCACATTCTAATACTGTACTGCATTTTTAAAACTATTCCAACCCTCTTCAAACCCCATCCCCTCCCCACTACTCATACTTGCACCAGCCCACCTTTCTGCCAATAGAACCTGCAATAAAACTATTGTACTTTGTAATGGTGTGCTCCCTCACTTGCCCTTTCTACTCTCCTCCACCTTTTTGCCCATTACCTCTGTCAAACCTAACCCTCTCTTTCTCTTCCCTAAATCCCTTGCCACTTTTCACTCTGCACCTTCCCTATTCCGTCACCCTACATCCTTCCTTTCTCTACACCCTCTTTCCTTTACACCAAAACCACTCCTTAACCCAAGCTTGCCCCCCCCCCCCCCAAAAAAAAAAAAAAATCCATAATACTCCTTTGCTATATCTTGTCTAGGAATATCCCTCATTAACCTTCCACACATTTGATCTCCCTCTCCTAAATGTGCCCCCTTTCTTCAAAACAAAATTGAACTATGTGCAAGTTTTTCATATTTGCTTTTTATTTTTTTCAGTGAATCTCTCGCTTACCTTCCTCTGGGGTGTTTATCAGTGGCAAAGGAAGAGAAAAACCATAGCAAATTTTGGAGTTCCTCCTCCACTGACATACCAGCTGTCATCTACTCCATCAGAAATCCAGCAGCTGCTACTAACAGAAAAAGTTGAGACAACATCCCCTGCAAAAGAACACACTATTACAAGGTACAGTAGTTTTATTGTAAGTATTGTATATTACACAGTATTACTAAGTTTCTGGTAATATTCTGAAAGTGTATAATGTTCAGTGTGTTTATTTTTTTCTTTAAAGTGGCCATATCCCACCAGGTAAGGTGACAAAAAAAAAAATCACCCTCATTGCCAGAAGTATGCAGACATCACAATTTAAGTGATTATCCAAATGGCAATATCCTCCACCCCTCATTCATGATGCAGGCACTATACTTGCCACTTCCAGGACTCAAGTTTGGCTAACAGGTTTTCCTTTATAGATGTTACCTTGCTCACTCTCCAGCAGCATTGTCATGCTGTGAAAACTACTTAGCTCCTCTTATTCCAAGCTTGCTGGATGCTCAAACCCCTAGCACACACAACTCCTTTACTCCTTTCCCTCCTCAAATGACCTCTACTCCTTTTCTCCAACCCCAGCTGTATGCAGTCTTTTAATTATCCTGTTCTGTTCCGTCCTTTTGAAATGGCGAAACCATCTTGACCCCTCAGAATTATACATTTGGTAGCCCCACAGTCTTCTAATTTCTATGCTCCAAATTCCCTGGATAATGATTATTTATGGTAGTAGGTTGGTAGACAGCAACCACCCAGGGAGGTGCTACCGTCCTGCCAAGTGAGTGTAAAACGAAAGCCTGTAATTGTTTTACATGATGGTAGGATTGCTGATGTCTTTTGTCTGTCTCATAAATATGCAAGATTACAGGTATGTCTTGCTACTTCTACTTACACTTAGGTCACACTACACATACATGTACACATTTATTTATACACACTCATCTGAGTTTTCTTTGATTTTATCTTAATAGTTCTTGGTCTTATTACTTTTCCTTTTATATCCATGGGGAAGTGGAATAAGAATCTTTCCTCCGTAAGCCATGCGTGTTGTAAAAGTCAACTAAAATGCCAGGAACAGTGGGCTAGTAACCCCTTTTCCTGTAAAGATTACTAAAAAGAATAAGGAGAAGAAAATTGTCAAAGTGGGAAGTCTGAATGTGCGTGGATGTTGTGCAAATGATAGGAAAGAGATGATTGTCGATGTTTTGAATGAGAAGAAGCTGGATGTCCTGGCTTTAAGTGAAACAAAGCTGAAGGGGGTGGGAGAGTTTCAATGGAGAGGAATAAATGGGATTAGGTCAGGGGTTTAAAATAGAGTTAGAGCTAAAGAAGGAGTAGCAATAATGTTGAAGGATAAGCTATGGCAGGAAAAGAGGGACTATAAATGTATTAATTCAAGGATTATGTGGAGTAAAATAAAGATTGGATGTGAAAAGTGGGTTATAATAAGCGTGTATGCACCTGGAGAAGAGAGAAGTGTAGAGGAGAGAGAGATTTTGGGAAATGTTGAGTGAATGCGTGGGGAGTTTTGAATCAAGTGTGAGAGTAATGGTGGTTGGGAATTTCAATGCTAAAGTGGTAAAAATGTTATGGAGGGAGTAGTAGGTAAATTTGGGGTGCCAGGGGTAAATGTAAATGGGAAGCCTTTAATTGAGCTATGTGTAGAAAGAAATTTGGTAATAAGTAATACATATTTTATGAAAAAGAGGATAAATAAATATACAAGGTATGATGTAGCACGTAATGAAAGTAGTTTATTAGATTATGTATTGGTGGATAAAAGGTTGATGGGTAGGCTCCAGGATGTACATGTTTATAGAGGGGCAACTGATGTATCAAATCATTATTTAGTTGTAGCTACAGTTAGAGTAAGAGGTAGATGGGAAAAGAGGGAGGTGAAAGTGTATAAACTGAGGAGGAAGTTCGGGCGAGATATAAGCGACTATTGGCAGAAAGGTGGGCTAGTGCAAAGATGAGTAGTGGGGGGGTTGAAGAGGGTTGGAATAGTTTTAAAAATGCAGTATTAGAATGTGGGGCAGAAGTTTGTGGTTATAGGAGGGTGGGGGCAGGAGGAAAGAGGAGTGATTGGTGGAATTATGAAGTAAAGGGTGTGATAAGAGAAAAAAGTAGCTTATGAGAGGTTTTTACAAAGCAGAAGTGTTATAAGAAGAGCAGAGTATATGGAGAGTAAAAGAAAGGTAAAGAGAGTGGTGAGAGAGTGCAAAAGGAGAGCAGATGATAGAGTGGGAGAGGCACTGTCAAGAAATTTTAAAGAAAATAAGAAAATTTTAGTGAGTTAAACAAGTTAAGAAAGCCTAGGGAAAGTATGGATTTGTCAGTTAAAAACAGATTTAGGTATTAGGTAGATGGTGAGAATATTTTGAGGAACTTTTAAATGTTAGGAAAGAAGGAGAGGCAGTAATTTCATGCACTGGTCAGGGAGATATACCGTCTTTTAGGAGTGAAGAAGAGCAGAATGTAAGTGTGGGGGAGGTATGTGAGGCATTACGTAGAATGAAAGGGGGTAAAGCAGCTGGAACTGATGGGATCATGACAGAAATGTTAAAAGCAGGGGGGGATATAGTGTTGGAGTGGTTGGTACTTTTGTTTAATAAATGTATGAAGGAGGGGAAGGTACCTAGGGATTGGCAGAGAGCATATATAGTCCCTTTATATAAAGGGAAAGGGGACAAGAAAGACTAAAAATTATAGAGGAATAAGTTTACTGAGTATACCAGGAAAAGTGTACGGTAGGGTTATAATTGAAAGAATTAGAGGCAAGACGGAATGTAGGATTGCGGATGAGCAAGGAGGTTTCAGAGTGGGTAGGGGATGTGTAGATCAAGTGTTTACATTGAAGCATATATGTGAACAGTATTTAGATAAAGGTAGGGAAGTTTTTATTGCATTTATGGATTTAGAAAAGGCATATGATAGTGGATAGAGGAGCAATGTGGCAGATGTTGCAAGTATATGGAATAGGTGGTAAGTTATTAAATGCTGTAAAGAGTTTTTATGAGGATAGTGAGGCTCAGGTTAGGGTGTGTAGAAGAGAGGGAGACTACTTCCCGATAAAAGTAGGTCTTAGACAGGGATGTGTAATGTCACCATGGTTGTTTAATATATTTATAGATGGGGTTGTAAAGGAAGTAAATGTTAGGGTGTTCGGGAGAGGGGTGGGATTAAATTTTGGGGAATCAAATTCAAAATGAGAATTGACAGTTAGTTTTTGCTGATGATACTGTGCTTATGGGAGATTGTAAATAAAAATTGTAAAGGTTAGTGGATGAATTTGGAAATGTGTGTAAAGGTAGAAAGTTGAAAGTGAACATAGAAAAGAGTGAGGTAATGAGGGTATCAAATGATTTACATAAAGAAAAATTGGATATCAAATTGGGGAGGAGGAGTATGGAAGAAGTGAATGTTTTCAGATACTTGGGAGTTGACGTGTCGGCGGATGGATTTATGAAGGATGAGGTTAATCATAGAATTGATGAGGGAAAAAAGGTGAGTGGTGCATTGAGGTATATGTGGAGTCAAAAAACTTTATCTATGGAGGCAAAGAAGGGAATGTATGAAAGTATAGTAGTACCAACACTCTTATATGGGTGTGAAGCTTGGGTGGTAAATGCAGCAGCGAGGAGACGGTTGGAGGCAGTGGAGATGTCCTGTTTAAGGGCAATGTGTGGTGTAAATATTATGCAGAAAATTCGGAGTGTGGAAATTAGGAAAAGGTGTGGAGTTAATAAAAGTATTAGTCAGAGGGCAGAAGAGGGGTTGTTGAGGTGGTTTGGTCATTTAGAGAGAATGGATCAAAGTAGAATGACATGGAAAGCATATAAATCTATAGGGGAAGGAAGGAGGGGTAGGGGTCGTCCTTGAAAGGGTTGGAGAGAGGGGGTAAAGGAGGTTTTGTGGGCAAGGGGTTTGGACTTCCAGCAAGCGTGCGTGAGTCGTGTTCGATAGGAGTGAATGGAGACGAATGGTACTTGGGACCTGACGATCTGTTGGAGTGTGAGCAGGGTAATATTTAGTGAAGGGATTCAGGGAAACCGGTTATTTTCATATAGTTGGACTTGAGTCCTGGAAATGGGAAGTACAATGCCTGCACTTTAAAGGAGGGGTTTGGGATATTGGCAGTTTGGAGGGGTGTTAATGTTGCAGTTTAAAAACTGTAGTGTAAAGCACCCTTCTGGCAAGACAGTGATGGAGTGAATGATGGTGAAAGTTTTTCTTTTTCGGGCCACCCTGCCTTGGTGGGAATCGGCCAGTGTGATAATAAATAATAAAAAAATGCTTCTAAACTGTTGTATTCTGAGCACCTCTGCAAAAACAGTGATAATGTGTGAGTGTGGTGAAAGTGTTGAATGATGATGAAAGTATTTTCTTTTTGGGGATTTTCTTTCTTTTTTGGGTCACTCTGCCTCGGTGGGAGACGGCCGACTTGTTGAAAAAAAAAAAATAAAAAATAAATAAAAAAAAAAATCCTTATGCTGGTTTTGACATGAAATATTCAAGAGCCTTTAAGAACATCTTCAAAAACTGGGAAGAATTAATTACCGTAGTTGTTCTTAAAGCCAAGGTCCCTCAAATTCATTTGGTGTATGCAGTTTTTTCTTGACCTATGTTATAAAGAATAAATATTCAGTGGAGTTTCTCTTTCATACGAGGCACTGGATGTACAGTACAGTATTTAGAATATTGGAATAATTTATATCCATTGTTAAAGACAAGTTCATTTCTAATACAGATGGGATATGGGTTGCACAACAGCTGCTTTTTGCTCCTTTAATTAGTAAAGATTTTCCTTTGGTTGAAAAATACAAAGGTCTAAAAATAGGTGGAGATCCTCACAGAAATCCATTTCATATTCCCAATAAATGTTTATTCTTATACTCCAAAAGAAAATGTTTATTTTTATTATTGCCTAAACAGCAGTAGCAGACGGATGAGTGATATAAAAGAAGACAGCTTTTCTGACTACTCTTGTGATGATGAGCCAATGCTGCCACCCCCTGTACCAACATTAACACGTTCCTTTATGCGTAGAAGGTTAGTTCAAAATATTTTGTTCTTGTTCTATCGCCTATCTCCAATCAACTCATTCACAATCATTCATTGTCACTCTTGTGTCAGAAGTGTGCTGGTGTCACGATTTGGATGACCTTCCAACTGCTGTATCCCCAACCAATGCCTTCCCACCTCTAGGACTTGAACACATCGGCCATTTCCCACCAAGGCAGGGTGGCCCAAAAAAGAAACTTTCATCATTCACTCTATCACTGTCTTGCCAGAGGCATGCTTACACTACAGTTATAAAACTGCAACATTAATGCCCCTCCTTCAGAGTACTGGCACTGTAATTTCCATCTCCAGAAATAGAGTCCGGTCTTCCGGTTTCCCTAAATCCTTTCATAAACGTTACCTTGCTTACACTCCAACAGCACGTCAGGTCCTAAAAAACATTTGTCTCCATTTGCTTCTATCTCTCATGCTCAATGCATGTTTGCTGGAAGTCTAAGCCCCTCTCACGCAAAACCTCCTTTACCCCCTCCCTCCAACCTTTCCTAGGTCAACCCCTACCCTGCCTTCCCTCCACTACATATTTATACACTCTCGAAGTCATTCTATTTTGTGCCACCCTCTCTACATGTCCAAACCATCTCGATAACCCCTCCTCAGCCCTCTGGATAATAGTTTTGGTAATCCCACATCTCCTAATCTCCAAACTACAGATTCTCTGCATTATATTGACACCACACATTGCCCTCAGACACAAGATCTCCACTGCCTCCAGCCTTCTCCTTGTTGCAGCATTCACAACCCATGCCTCCCACCCATACAAAAGCATTGGTATAACTACTCATACATTGCCCTCTTTGCTTTCATGGATAAAGTTCTGTGCCTCCACAGACTCGTTGGTGCACCACTCGCCTTTTTCCTCTCGTAAATTCTATGATTTACCTAGTCTTTCATGGACCCATGTACTGACACGTCCACTCCCAAATATCTGAATACATTCACTTCCTCCATACTCTCTCCCTCCAATCTGATATCCAATCTTCCATTACCTAATTTTTTTTGTTATCCTTATCACCTTAATCTTTCCTATATTCACTTTTAATTTCCTTCTTTTACACACCCTACCAAACTCATCCACCAACCTCTGCAACTTTTCTTCAGAATCTCCCAAAAGCACAGTGTCATCAGCTAAGAGCAACTCTGACAACTCCCATTTTGTGTTATTCTTTATCTTTTAGCCTTGCACCTTTTGCCAACAGCTGAGCATTCAATTCTCTTAAAACTCCATCTATAAATATATTGAACAACTATGGTGATATCACTAGGATTTGTCTGGCCATAAAATAGTTATGTATACAGTATACATGTGGAGTGTGCCAAACATTTCAGCGAACATGGTTATGCTGAGGTGGCAGTTCAGAAGCAGAATATATATACAGTACTGAATGGTTAGGTGGAGGTATTATGATGAGAATATTTTGAGTTGTTGTTGAGGAAAGGGAGGCATTGATTTCATGCATTGGACAGGAAGGCATATCACATAGGAGTAAGGGAGAGCCAGATGTGAGTTGGAAAAGGGCAAATGTGTGAGGCAGTGGGTAAAATAAGGGAGTGGGGTAAAGCAGCTGGGACAAATGGGATTAAAATAATGCTACAAGTGGGGATATAGTTTTGGAGTGATTTGATGTATTTCAGTATATGGATAAAAGAAGGGAAGGTGCCTAAGGATTGGCAGAGAGTATACATAATTCCTTTGTATGAAGGGGGGGAAGGGACACGAATTATAGGGGAATAAGCCTGTTAAGTATACCAGGTAGTGTTGAGTATAGTTATTTTTGAGAGTTAGGCGTAAAACAGTAGGATTGCAGAGATGATTTAGGGAAAGTAGGGGGATGTGTAGACCAATTGTTTGTTGACATATATAAAGTGAACAGTACCTTCATAATTGTAAGGAAATGGTTTGTAAAGTTTGTTTTTAGAAAAGGTATATGATAGGGTGGATAAGGGTGGATAGTGGCATATTTTGCAAATGTATGGAATAGGCAGTAGGTTACTAAAAGCATTGTTTTTTATGCAGTGAGACACTCCTAGGTAGTAGGTTGGTAGACACAACTGCCCAGGGAGGTACTACCGTCCTGCCAAGCGAGTGTAAAATAAAAGCCTGTAATTGTTTTACATGACAGTAGGATTGCTGGTATTTTTCTGTCTAGTAAACATGCAAGATTTCAGGGATGTCTTGCTACTTCTACTTAAATTTAGGTCACACCCCACATGCATGTACAAGCATATATATACATACCCCTCTGGGCTCTCTTCTATATTCTTACTAGTTCATTTTTGTTTATTTCCTCTTATCTTTATGGGGAAGTGGAACAGAATTCTTGCTCCATAAGTCATGTGTGTCATACAAGGCGACTAAAATGCTGGGAGCAAGGGGCTATTAACCCCTTCTCCTGTATACATTACTAATGTTAAAAAGAGGAACTTGTTTTTCTTTTTGTGCCACCCTGCCTCGGTGGGATACAACCGGTTTGTTGAAAGAAGCAAGACTGGTTGGGATATGTAGGAGAGGGGGAAACCTTAAGGATGTATTTGTTGCCATGGTTATTTAAGATATTTGTAGATAGGGTTGAAAAGTGAATGCTAGGGTGATGATGTAGGATTTAAAGATAACTTGCCTTTGATATACCTTTGAAGATCTCAGAGTTAATCTACTCTCTGAGCCCGGCCATAGGCCAGGCTCGTCTGGTGCTTGCCTGGTCAACCAGGCTGTTGCTGCTGGAGGCCCACTGCCCCACATATCCATCACAGCCTGGTTGATCTGGCACCTGGTGAAGATATTTGTCCAGTTTCCTCTTGAAGGCTTCTACACTTGTCCCAGCTGTGTTTCTGATATCTTCTGGTAAGATGTTGAATAGTCTGGGACCCCAGATGTTGATAGTGTTCCCTTATTGTCCCCACCACACCCCTACTCCTCAATGGGTTTATTTTACGCTTCCTCCCATATATCTCGCACTTTAATCAGATTCATTATCACAGTTGCCATTTGCCGAGGACACTGTTCAAGATTCTGGAGAGTTGTAAAGGTTGGTAGAGAAATTCGGAAGGTTAGGTAAAAGAAGGAAACTAAAAGTAAACATAGAAAAGAGCAAGTTGAAGAGTCCTGGAGGTGGGAAGTACAATGCCTATACTCTGGAGGGGTCATTTGAATTATAATGTCTGCACGTTTCTATCAAGACAGCTATTGAATGAATGATAGTGACTTTTTTTTCCGTCCTTTGTGAGAAATGGTTGGTGTAATGAATATTAACCCTTCAGGGTCCGTGCTGTAGGTCTACGGTCTACGGCTTTACGTTCAGGGTCCAAACCGTAGATCTACGCCATGAGCTCGGCTCATTCTGATAAGCTGTGAGTGGTAAATTTGGGCCTAGATATGAGAGAATACATCTATGTGGTATGTGTGCACCACATAAAACAAATCCTGCAGCACAGTGTATAACGAGAGAAAAAAAGTGATTTTCGATTAAAACGGTGACCTTGCAGTGTTTTTTTATAGTTGTATTTGCGATTTCTTGGTCTCATTTGATAGAATGGAAGATATATTACAGAAATAGAAATTATTTTCATTGGTTTTAGCACTGGAAATGGCTTGAAACAGCTCAAAGTAGCAGAAATGTTAAATTTTTGTCAATGTTCAAGAGTAAATAAACGACCTCACACGTCTAATACATGCCAGCTGGTGGGTCTAATATACATTCACAAATGTGTTGATATTTATACAATTATTACAATATTGCATAACAGTAAATCTATTTTTTGGTTTGAATAAAAATTCATTGTGAAAAAAAATCAAAATGGAATTCATTTGTAAAGCCTCAAAACGTAACTAATGAACAGAGGAAATGTTAGTTTAGTGCCAGGAATACCTGCATTGTTTATTCTGAACCCTATTTTGAAATTGGAATATTTTGAACTTTGTGTTAAATTGGCCAAATTACCAATTTCCGATCACTTTATTTTGTAGTTGAAACAGTTGACTGGGTGATTATTGTGCTCAGTCGATAGAATAGAAGTAATACTAGTGAAATAGCTAAGAATTTGGTCAACTGGAATAATGTAATTGGCCTAAAATGGGAGTCAAAGTCAGGAAAATCCCCGATTCATAAATATCACTGACGCATCAAAATTCGCGAGAGCATAATTTCGTCAATTTTCCATCAAATTTCGTACTTATTGTTTTATTACCTACAGAAAAAGATTCTCTACCATTTCATAAAAAAAAAAAATTATTGAAAATTCTTGGACCCTGGTGTGCACTTTGAAATTTGGTCTCTGGACCCTGAAAGGGTTAAGTTCTCTATAATTTATAACTTTGTAACACTAGCTCAAGTGCTACAGTATTTTACTCTCATTTATTATTATATTCACTAGCTCCTTTATTTTAGCTTTAAATATCTACCTTAGTTCATGTACTCATATTTGTTAAAATAATTAAGGTGCTAGTTCAAGTTCTAAAGTGTATAATTTCATTTTTTTCCTATAATTTTCCCTAGCTCTTTTATTCTTTTTTAGTTGTAGAATATTTACATAGTTTTATTCCTAAGTCTAGTTATAGATTCACTATAAATCTTTGATTACAAGCATTGATCTTGATACCAACCTCCCATTTGTAACAATCCATTAGCCAGTAAGATATTTTTTTTTTTTTTTTTTTTAACAAGTCTGTCATCTACCACCGAGGCAGGGTGACCCAGAAAGAAAGAAAATCCCAAAAAAGAAAATACTTTACTTTATTCATTCAACACATTCACCTCACCACACATAATCATTGTTTTTGCAGAGGTGCTCAGAATACAACAATGAGTATAAAACGAAAGCCTGTAATAATTTTACATGATGGTAGGATTGCTGGTGTCTTTTCTGTCACATAATAAATAAGCAAGATTACAAGTACGTCTTGCTACTTCTACTTACGCTTAGGTCACACTACACATACATGTACACTTTTATTTAGACACACTCATCTGAGT